TAAGCTTGATTTTCTCCTATAAGCCCATCCCTTTAATATTTATCATAACTAAAGGAAACATTCATGTATATTCCAATATTAGCCTCAATCATTTATAGCCAATTGTTAATTGTCATGCGAATTAATCAATTTTGTCCATAAAAGTTCAATTTTGACCACAAAAATTCAATTTTGACTTTTTTCTGGAGTCTGATTTAATATGCGGCAGTTTCGTCATGAAAAAAAAAAAAAAAAAAGTTAACGCCGGAGTCCGGATGTCGGAATTTGGAAACAAATTTTTGTTGGTTTTCAAAAAAAATTTTTTTTGTTTAAAAAGTAGTTAACGCCGGAGACCGGCGTTGACCGCCGGTCAACGCCGGAATCCGGCGGCAAAAAAAAGTTTTTGAAAAAAAAAATTTTTTTGAAAAAAAAAAAAAATTTGGGTCAAAATTTAATAATTTGTGAAATTTGGGGTCAAATTGAGATTAAATTAAGTTAATGATGAAATTGGAGCATATTAAATTATACTCCAAAAAAAAGTCAAAATTGAATTTTTGTGGTCAAAATTGAACTTTTATGGACAAAATTGATTAATTTGGATTACAATTAAGAATTGGGTATAAATGATTGAGGGTAATATTGGGATATACATGAATGTTTCCTTTAGTTATAATAAATATTAAAGGGATGGGCTTATTGGTGAAAGAGATATGTCCCCTATACCTAGAATAATAAACATGCTTGGTTGGGGACTTTTGCATAAAAATCCCTATATAAAGGGTAAATGCCATTTTGCCCCCTAAACTATAGCTCAATTCGCACTCTACCCCTGAACAAATTTGTATTACAAGATTATCCCTCAAAAGTCAAAATTGTGTAAAAATAATCGAATTGGAGGAAAATCGTGAACAAAAAAATTGTTCAGGGGTAGAGTACGAATCGGGCTATAATTTAGGGGGCAAAGGGTCATTTATCCTATATATAAATAGGGTTTTACCTCGTAAATTTATTTTGGCTAGTTCCGTATACCTTTCGTTTCCCAGTATTACTAGAATTTTGGCCCGTGCGATGCACGAGATTGAATTAAAATTAATATAAAGTAAAGTTCAATTTAAACGACAAAATTAAAGTTTCAATTAATTTTGATGTTTTGCTATATGTATTGATGATAATCTCCCATCCGTAACTTGTGTTATTTATTAGAGATAATTAGTGAAAACCCCCCAGCACATTAAGATATATTAGGATGGATCTACACCCTTTTTCAATATTAGTGAGACCCCCCTTAGTTATTTAATTAAATTAATATTAATATAATTATTAAATATTATACCTATATTACCCCTAATTATCAGATCTTATAATCACAAACCATAGCCATATATTTTATATTCAAAACCGCCGTTCTATCATCCCGATTCACGTTTTCTCTTCTTTATCGATCTGAAATCGACTTCTTTCTCAATCTGGGAATCCCGGTAATGGCGGTGGAGGCGGCGGCTACGGAGGACGAAGGTGGCGCCACGTCTCAACAACGACGAAGGAGTCGTTCTCAAATCTCCGGCACCGTGAAGAAAATTAAAGAACAATAGCCGCTATCGAGTCGATTCTCGCTTAGTTCGCTTCGTTCTCAGCCGCTATGGAGTCGATTCTCGCTTAGTTCGCTTTGTTCGTTATATTCGGTGGCCACCAAAGGCGTTGGAATCGAATATGGGAGACCCTTCGTTTTTTTTTTTTGGTAATGGTTAACCCCTCTCTACCTCCACCCTCGTCTGCATCGTCAGATCTGGTAACATCGCTCTGCTCCACCGCAACCATAATTTAAAAAAAAAATCGGAGATGTTTTTATTGATGGGTATCTTTTGCAGCAATATAGTTGTTTTCGTTATTCTACTATTTTTAGTATAGTTGTTTTCGTTATTCTACTATTTTGTATAGTTGTTGATGGGTATCTTTTGCAGCAATATAGTTTTTTAATTAGTTGTTTTCGTTATTCTAATTAGTTAATCTTATAATGGAAATAATATAATATATAATTAATTTAATAAATTGTGAAACTGATGTATCATTGTTTTAATACCAATAACCGGAAATTCTCCTGATCGATGAGATGTTTGCTGTAGAAAGCAAGGATGGTGGTATATTGGTGTTCTTTTATTTGCTTTGTTTGTTTTGATATGCTAATTATTGTTTAATTATGGAGTAGTTTCTATTGTCCATGCTATAAAATCATGGTGGTTTGAAATTAGAAAATCAAGATTTGACGAGAATGCTCGAAGCAAACTATTTGATATGTCCGGATGTGTTGCGATGTTCATGTTGTTTCAATTTCGGAGAAATAGTTGTTTGTATCATTTTTGTAGTTGTATTTTTTTTTTTATAGTTGTTTTGTTAATTTTTGTAGTTGTATTTTCTGCTTTTTTATAGTTGTTTTGTTAATTTTGTAGTTGTTTATGTTACTTTTATAGTTGAATACTTGTTACCATTGTATTTTTTTTTATTACTTTTTGTAATTGATTTGTGATATTTGTCGGTGTTTTAAATTTGTAGGTGGTGAACTTTTGTCAACAATTGCTCCCATTCTTTTGGATTGTTGTTGGAGGTGGACCTGGAGAAGAAATACGTAAAAACCCCCTAATTCATTTACTTACGCGTAATAGCGTGTCGTTTTTGTTGGAATTTTGGTGTGTTTTTTTGCTTTTGCTTTTGCTTTTGTGGATTTCAATAATTTGTAGTTGAGTCAATATAGTTGTTTTCGTATAGTAATATAGTTGTTTTTGCACAACAATATTATTGTTTTCATTACTTTTTAGTTTGTTTGAATAAATAGTTCATTTAACAAATAGTTGTTTTGGAAATGTTTTAATTAAATAATTAGTTAATCTTATAATGGAAATAATATAATATATAATTAATTTAATAAATTGTGAAACTGATGTATCATTGTTTTAATACCAATTGTTTTAATAATAGTCGTTTTATAATAGTCGTTTTAATAATAGTCGTTTTATTGGCATATAGTTGTTTTAACTTAAAACTAAAATAATATAGAAAAGTTATATTTAAAGAAAAATATTAAAATAAATAAAAAAAAAAGTTTGTTTTAAAAACAAATTATTTTTTAAAGAAGAAATAAATAAAAAAACGAAAATTAAAATTAAAATATAAAAAATAAAAAAAAAATATATCAAACTAATGGATAATGAGTAGTGAATAGTGGGAGGGTAAATTGGAGAATACAAAAAGAATGGGTTTCTCACTAATAAAGGAAAATGAGCTGGACCCATCCTTATTAAAATAATGTTAGAGGGGGTTCTCACTAATAGTCCCTATTTATTAATTTAATTTTATGCCTTTGATGTAAGATGGTTGTATATTTATCTTATTCCAGGTAATGTATAAGTTTGACGAATTTTCTTCTTTGTCACCCATAACAGACCTCAGTAAATTTACTGCGAATCAATGTTGTCATTAAATCTCAAAGTTTATCGGATGCAACTTTACTTTTATTAATAAGATAACAACCAAATGTTTTTCTAAACAATTAATAATTTTCTCATAACATTAATATTAAGTAAAATGAAAATTTTAATGGGAAAAAAATACATAAATTTGAGGCAAAAAATTATGACAAAACGTACCAAATTGCCCCATGTCTTTTCTAGTCAAACATTAAGGTGGTTTTTGCAAATGCTATTTGAAAGTGATTATGCGGTTTTTTTTTTTTGCTCATAATCTATTTTTAGGTGTTTGCAAAATCAACTTTTATTTTTCGAAATATTTGCAAACACCCCAACTTTTAAAAATAAGCACTTAAAACTAACTTAAATCACAATCACTACTTCTGCTTTTGAATAATCATTTGCAAACACCACCTAAAAAATTAACTTTACTAGTTTTGGGGTCAAACTTACCTTTTTACCCTTATTACTATTACATATATTATTATTTAGTTTTTTTCTTTTTTCTTTGCCCCAATATAAGTTTTTTTTTTCCGCACATCTCTCTTCCTCCAAAATTGAGTTCTTTAAAAGACAAAATAAGTGAAAAAAAATTAAAATTCTAATTTTAGGCAATAAATTGATTATGAGATAAATCTTACTTTTGGACAAAAAATGAAGATGATAATGAGTATGTGAGACCAATTTTATTAACTAAATAAAATATAAATTAAATATTTTACTATATTATTAGGTTAAGAAAATATAAAATATTATGGGGCAAAATATATTCATCTTTATACATACATAAAATAAATTGTGTATATCTTTATACATATAGATAGATATAACAAGTGAGGGGTAAAAATATCAAAAAAAAAAAAAATTTCAAAAAGTCAACTTGCCAAATCAGCACCCCACAAATGGATTGGATGGAACTAGAAAGGCTATTTTGGTATGTTTTATAATTTAGGGGGTCTTTGATAGTTACCCTATAATTCAGGGTGTAAACTGAACTTTGCCCAACAATATATAATACATAAGAGGCAGGCAATTCTAGGGCAAA